AAAAAAAAAAAAGCTGTGAAAATCAAGTGACTCACAGTCACAGACAGGCTGTGAGAACAAGGCCAGAGGATATATTCAGGTCATTTAACCATTTCTCTGAAAATAAATACAAAACCATGCAGGTATTTTCTTCTGTAAAGATACAGAGTACACTCAGATCACAGATGGGCTTTTGATGCTCAGGTTTGACTGACTCTGTAAAGTTCAGCAAGCTGTGATTCTAAGTAGGGAATATCTGCAGTCTACATCCCAGGTGAAGCATTGTGAGCAACTAACAAGTCCCAAGTTGCACAAGTTTCACCAGCACGTGTAAAAGGAAATGCAGGTGTGGTGACGACTGGAAGCTTCTGGGGTGGAGTTTTTCTAACTTCACAAACAGATGTGCTGTAGACAAAGAAACTTAACGTGAGAAGAAAAAACACTTCTGTTTTGTTTTGTGCGCTTTTGAATCTCTTAGGATTCAGTGGGTTGGACTTCTCAGGGCCACATATGCTCCCATCCAGGTGACGTCTTTTTCAGGGAAGGCCTTGCGTATTTCAACAGGATGATGGTAAACAGCATACTTCATCAAATCTGAGTCTGGGTGCTGAACTGCAGGCCTGTAGTCCAGACCTTTCATCAAGCAAAGCGTCTGGAGCATCATGAAACCAAAAACGCAACAAAGCAGATTCAGGACTGATGAGCAACTAGAATCCTGTATCAGACCAAAATGGGATGACATTCCTCTCCTGGTAAGTCCAGCAGCTGCTCTCCTCAGTTCCCAGACACATGGCCTCGTCCCACCCTTTTTTTTAAATAGATATGTTGCTCCCATCAACTTCAAAATAACCTTGTTGTTAATGTTTTTTCTCTTAAAATGGTACTCAGTTTTCTGTGTTCTACTGTGAATAAGATATGGGCTTATGATTTGCAGTCATTTAACTGTGTTTTTATTTACATCTTACACACCGTTCTGTAGACTGTTGCTTTAATGCTTGTATTTAAATTTAACCCTAATAATTCTAACTTCAAATTTTATTTTATTTTATTGAACATTCTCTTTATTTAGAGTATTTTGCTACATGTTTGATGTTTAAAATTGTAAATATACAGAAATAAAACACTAAACAGACTTTTCACATATTTAGTTTGTTGGGATCTGATAAGCCTGGCTAAGGTCTCTGAACCACAGCTTTAAAATTACTTTTAAATTACTTGTATAAGTCAGTAACACAACTACAAAACAAATAGCACAGCCACCATGGAGACATGGATTGACTGAAAATAGACACAAAACATCTCCAGAGAGAAATTAAATTAGTCTAATCAATAGAAAATGGTGACCTGTTGCAGGTTATTTTTATGATTTACCTGCAGTTTGGCTCCATGCGCTTCGAGATCAGTTGCCAGTCCACCATCTAGGATCAATGGCCCTTCATCATTAACCATTTGTGTGAGAAGAGCAGAGGAGCCCATGGAGCAACACTTAATTAAAAAATTTACTGGAGAATTCTTTGCACTGCTTTTCATAAGAAGATCATTCAGTCAAGTTACTAACGCTGACTCCTCTGAAATAACACCACCGGGCAGCTTAATTATTCACACAGAAGAGAGTGAAGTGCAACATCAGATCCTTCATGTTTCATAATGTTGTTCTTCCGGGTAACCGTGGAATGAAAAGGTGCGTTTATAGCCGCTCAAAACTGAACTTCTTCGCAGCATCAGCAGACCGCCACTAGATGTCCTCCTACACAATAAATGCACAGTGTATTTCACCAGAATCCGATTCTTGCTCGCTCCTTTACTTTATAAACAACCACTGGAGCAAGACAGCGCAGCTTTTCTTTTGTACTGCTTTATAATTATCATGTATACAGTTTAATTAATGATATTCATCCAATCATTTATGACCAATATATTACATTTTAAGGTCTGCATAAAAACAAATAACAAAAACTGTGCTGAAAGGTCAGACTTCCCATGAACACATGAATGCACCTCTGCAGTTACTATAGAAACGAAGTACGGCTAATGTTTGCTAGCTAACAACAGTGTGCTGTCACGCAGAGTTTACAGGGATGTTTTAAAAGATGGTGAGTAAATTCCCTCCTGTCATCAAACCGGGGGGCGTGAGGGCTTCGGTGAAGGTAAAAACTTCCGTTAGAGCCTGAAACAGGTTGCTGTTTGCTACTGTTAGCATAATAAATACAAGCTAGCCGAGTAGTTCTACACATCAGTGCTTCAGGCTAACGGGTTAGCCGTTAGCTCCTTTAAAAATATCATTTATGGCTTATACACAGTTTAACTACAGATACTACAGGTAGCTGTGTGGTTAATGTCTAACGGTGAACATCAGCTATGATTAAATTAGCTAAAGGTGTAGCTGAGCAGGTGCTTTTAATGTTGGTATACCTGGCATCAAACATGTTTCTACTCAAAGAGTTTCTATCCATTCAGCTGGTGCCCATGTTTTCTGTTTATTCTATTAACTAGGATGAGTGGAGGAGGTGGTCTGAGCTTTTAGTGGTGAGAGACATCCTTATCTCTCACACGGTGCGTTAGACGACTGATTAATGCTAAACTGCAGACTGGTTAATCAATCAATCAAATTATATTTGTGTAGCACCTGTAGGAGGTGGGTGCAGATACTTTAAAGAAAACAAAATGCAATGAAACAGAATATGAGAGGAAGAAAATTATGAGCATCTTAAAAATAATTGAAAACATAAAACATTACAAAGTAATGATATTACTGATATTTTAAGAGCTAATTGAAGAAATAGGAGATATAGAGTGTCTTAAAAGAGGGGGAGGAGGGCAGTCATTTATTATGAAAAAATAACCCACTTTGAATTTTTCTTAATTAATCAGACTAACAGCACCAAAACACTGTTACTGATTTATTTGTCCTTGAAGAAATTGTATTTATTTATCCTACTTTTTACTGCCTCTGTGCCTTTCCAGTGGTGCCATCCCACATTGAAGGAGCACTGCTTTGAATATACAAACTAAGAAAGTAATAGTAACACTGATGTTTTGCTTGTTTGGGATAAGACCCGGATCATCGCCAGGCTTCATGAAGCAGTGGGGCAAGAGATAGGGAGCGTTTTCTTTGCAAAACCAATTGGATTAATGATGAGCAGAAGACCAGGAGACACCTTCACCAAATCATCCTTTAAACATGATAACATTGGCCTGGCGGTGATTAGGACAATCACTGCAGCAAAATAGTCTGTGAAATCACTTCCTGTGTCTTCCTAACTGCTTAATCTTAATAGGAAATGTCATGAGGAAGATAAGGAGTGTGGAAACGCAAACTTCAATGTCCTGAAGATAGAAGACAGAATGCAGAATGCAATATTTGCAAATCTCATGAGCCCATATTTTATTCGCTGTAGAACACCCAAAAAATGATCTTCTCTGTGGTATTTTTGGTTTTGTGATGCTCGAAATGTTTTCGTTTTGCGAAAGGTCTGATCTGCAGGAAGTGACTTGCAAACCGAATCCAGGCTTGTGTTGCTTAGTGGCAACAGTGCTAACCGATCGTTATCCGTGTTTACTGAATTGTTTTTGGTTGACAAGGTGAAGTGAATAAAGTCTGCTACTAGTCAGGTGAGCATACCTAATCATATTGAGTCATAACATTTCTGTGCTTATTAATAACAGACGCCTTTGGTTTGTAAAAAGACAGATTTTGTAAATATTGACCACCTTATGTACTGCATTCATTTTCTGTTAATAAACACATTTGTGGAAATGGACCAAAATGTAAAAATAAACCTGAACTGTGTGGATTCATGCCTCCTAGTTTACATCTGTGAGGCTTGCGCATTCACCTGAACATTGGCCTGTGGTTTCAGGCGACATGGTGACCTTTTAAAAGCTCAGTATGTTTTATTTGTTGGCACAGATTCAAGGTTTTCCTGGCTCAAACTGGGCATTTGGGGTTGAAAAAACACACATAATTTGTCCTCATAAGTTAGTTAGTTTCAGTTTTTTGAAATAAATGGTCAATTTTTTGTTATTTTTTTTACCATTTTATAATAAGAAATGTCTAATATGCTGGGGGAAATTAAATCTTGTGGGTGAAAAAAGATTTTCTTTTGGCTTTTGGGGGGTTGCCAGAAATTCTCCTTTGCAGAAAGAAGCTTAATATCTAAGTTATATTTATTTA